CGGGCGGCCGGCCGCCGTCGTGCGCTCCCAAGAGCGAAAAGAGCGTTTCGGCTCCCCCGTGCGAAGTGGCACGCGGTGCTTTTGGTGTTTGAAGTAGTTTGTCGCTTATTCTGTAAGTGATCTATGTTTTATGGAAAAATTGTCACTTTTTTTTTCAGGCTGAGCGTGCCCGAAAGTACCCCTTTCACGGCGGTCTTGAAGTTTGCCGCGGAAGAGGTAAGTAGAGAATGCGTGTTTCCCTCTCTGCATGTTTCCCAAAGCCGCGACTTTTTACTTGAGAAGTGCAGTGGTTAGTTTAGCCTGAAGTGTGCTGCTGTCCTGCTGCCTGATGTGTGGACATGGACGTTACTGCGACCTGTGTGGAGCTGCCGGACCAAGACCTGACCTTACAGGCAGTGATAGGCTCTCTGTGAAGTGCACTTAGAAAGGAAACGTTTATATGTCTGCGTTTAGCAAAGCATGCCTTTAGTTCACATGAGTGTTTTGAGTGTCCTTTAGACCTCAGAGAACTGTGGATCACCCGTTTTTATACAGAAATTATATAGGATTTTTGAATGCTTGGAAGAAAAATAGAAAATGTGTTGCAGAATGGAAAAGAGCTCATTAGTGAGCACTTGTGTAATTTTTAAATGCCTGTATGTATCTATTTATCTATACAGACACGCACACACGCACACATATGTATACGTATATTTGAGCAAACCACAAGTAATGCCTTTCTTCCTCCTCCAAAACAGTGTTAAAACACTTATGCTTTTGTATCAGCTTGGGTGAGTGCTAGATAGAAACTAATGAAAGAACCATATAATTGATTTTTTCAGATTATAATTCTGTAATTCTGGTTTTAGTTGTCACTGTTATTGTGTTACTGAATCTCTTACATCTCTGTGAGGCAAGGCAGGACACTTCTCTTTGTAAATAGAAGGGGGAAAAGTCTTTCTTGGCTTCGCTCTTGGGAATGAGTGTACTTTTTGTGATTTGCAATTCAGTGCCTGTTCCTGAGTGTCTAGAGCTCTTGGGGTAAAATGGGACTTAATTTTCAGAACTTTTGGCTATTGAGCTTTAGCAGATTTCCTAACTTATTTGAATGTGATAGTTTGTATAATGCAAATTTAACTCTTTGAATTCTGTTTCTTCCCATGTGTGTCTTATAGACTATATATAAAAACATACACAGGGTACAGGGTACTGTTCAGTTTGTATGTATTTGCAAGTTTCTTCACAGTTGTCACAATAAATTGTGGCAATGTTAATGTTTCATCTAGAATTTGTGGTGTCTATTGGTGTTTTTATTATTTACCTCTCAAAGTTTTTTTTTTTTGTGCATATTCCCCAAGTAATATGCATTTGCACAGTATTTAATTTTACAAGTGTAAGAGGTTTTTTGTTACCAAAATTGTCATCATTTCCAGTAAATAAAGCTACATCTTGTTGCTTCATAAAAATACATATTTTTAAAACTATTATTTTTTGCTCTAATGTTATTGTCAATTGGTGCTAAGATACTGTATTTTGATACTTACCTGCTTGTATTGCTCTGAAAGGAAATTAATTTATTGCTGTAGGGAATGGTTATTTTTCTTTTTAAAAAGTAAGGAAGGGGTGCAATTCTTGGCATAAGATTGGCCTCTCTCACTTATACATTTGTTAATATCAACAATCAAATTACTTCTTGGCACTGCAAAAAGTTGTGCGATAGCCTTGGTTATTGATTCATGAGCTCTTTTGAAAGTTTTGCAAGTTTGGGATGGGGGTTGAGTACTTTGTTACCCATTCTGGTTTCAGAGCCAGCCAAGACTTACAAGATGAATATGGTATTTCTTTGACACTTGAGCATCCATTTAAGTTCACTCATAAAAATCTTGTGTATTTTCAGCATTGGAAATGTACACTTAACAAATATAGGAAGGATTTTCTACTTAGATCAGACAAAACATATAAATGGTTTTGCACCCAAATCACATGCAATTATTTCCAGTGCTAATTTCCATTTGTATAATACCCTTGTGATCTTTCTCACTGTAAAGAATAGTTAGCCAACAACTGAATGTAGTAAACATTTGCTGTTTGGCCTGGAGCTTTACACTGAGCGCTTCATCCTCTCCTAACACAGTATCGTATGAAACAATAAGACTGTCTGAACTACTGGATATGTGTTTTCCTAGATGACTGCTACACAGTTCTCCCATGCACATAGGGTAACTGCATTAGATAGGTTGTCCTTCTGAAGAGTGATCCATCGCATTCATGGATTGCCATGTATCAAAAGAAATGAGCAGAGGCACTCCACGTATTAGAGATCATCCTATATCATCTGACAATAAAAAAGTATAAAATATAACTAGTATCATATCACCTATTTATATGAGAAATCTATTTGTTGAAAAATAAATATTGAATTAATTGTATGTTTGCTAGCTCGTTTGATGTTTTCTTTTTTGTGTTTTATTTCTTTGATATTTGAACTGGAGATGCTTTTTCCAGGAAACAGGATTTAATATGATTGACAATAATAATTCAGTGTTCAAGCCTTATAAACGTATTTTCTCCTGTTATGTAAAAAAAAAAAAAAAAAGTTTGAAAACTGTAAACTGATTGCCGAGAAACACAAAACTAGCGAGCTATAAGAAAGACTATGTTTCTTCAGTGTATGATATGTATGCATTAGCTATTACAAGATAGCATGTTATTTTTTTAAGTTCTTACTGCTGAATACATAGCCTAGCCGCTTTTATCAAATTTATTATTCAAATCTTGCTCAGAAAACAAATTTGTTACTTTCTTTGTGGACCTTTTTATACTGACACTGGTAAGTAATGCATGATTATCTTTTTGCCAGTGTTAATGTTTTCAGGCTACCCTGCAAGAAGAAAGTGACATTATTTACCTGAAATAGATAAAAAGCTGAGAGAGATTAAGTGAAAAGATTTCAAATGACTTTTTTTGTGTCTGATCAGCGATCACACAAATCAACACAAGTGTTTTTCCGTATACTAAGAATTAAGTACTGCATTCAAGCACAATTACTATGAGTTTTAGCTATTGCAAGTGCAAAGAGTTTCTGCAGATTAGAGCTCAGAGCTGAGCTGTCAGATAATGGGGAAAACAGTTACTGACTGTAGTTCAAATGATGACATAACCACTTAGCAGATAGGAGAGCTCTGCGCTCCTTCCTGGGAAATATTTAGTAATTCCTTAACTCCTTTTTTTTTTTTTTTTTTGGTGCAACATGAAGAGAAGGATGTACTTGCAGTTGGAGAGGTCCAAAGAGAGCTGAGGATGTATATGGGAAATTGTTTCCAATCAATTCTAGTTCAGCTCCCCTCTGTCCTCAATCTGAGATTGAGATGATGATCTTTGTGATGACAATAGATGCTAAGTGCTCGCTGAGTTTGTTTTGTATGATTACAGTTATTTTCTTGGTGTAATTTTTCTTGGCTGTTTTTACATCAGATATTTTTTTTTCCCCTCGAATACGTAATCTGCTTGCACAAGCTTTTGGTTTTGCAAGTGCTTATATATGTCAAGAGCACTCAAGTGCATGCGTGTGTTACAGGTGTAAGAGCTTATATTGGTTAGTTTTATTGCGGGAGATTTTGACATCTCTTTTCTTAGTCTTTTCTCCAAGTATTACCTCTTCACAGTAGTTGACATAACAGGTATACTTTCCAGAAGTTCATTTCTGTTTTCTCGGTTGCTTCCTCATGTATGGTATAATCAAAGTTAATGCTTTTTAAGTTTGGGAGACTTTATGTAATGAATAAAAATAATTGGATTTTTTTTTTCCAAACCAGATAAAGTTATAATTAGTTTGAATATTTTTAACTTTAATTATCTGTCTCTTATGGTATTTTATCCTACTCTTATTTCCTTTAGTTCAAAGTTCCTGCAGCAACAAGTGCCATTATAACAAATGGTAAGAGTATAATTTTGTACTTTCTGTCAAGAGATATTGATTAAAAAAAAGAAATGTCTTTTCTTCCACAAACTATGCAGACTGCAAGCTGAACTTAATAATATTGCACCACTATTTATACTGCTTGTGGAAAGGATTAAAGCACTTACTAATTTGAGTGGTTTTGTCCTAGCATATAACTTGAATTTTCTATGCTGAAGTGTTTTTTTGTCAACACTTCAATGAGGCTAGTTTTTATTATAAGAAATAGCTGCTGAAAGGGCTGATGTAATAGCTATATAGGTTATTCTTTATCATGTTATGTTTTTGAAGCTGTCAGTTTAGTATAAAAACTGTCTTGATCCTTGTTTTTCCTTCTCTTTCTTACCTTCTCCTCACCAATAAAAATTTAATTCTTTTCTAGATGGAATAGGAATAAATCCTGCACAGACAGCAGGTAAGTTGTTGTTTATGGAGATCAATATTAAAAAGTTTTTTTTTTCTTGAATTCATGGCAATCTAGAGCGTCTCATGTTTTTAAGTTTTGATTTCTCAAATGAGGTCAGCCTCACCTCTGTCCCTGGAAAGGTGAAGGAGCAGTTCATCCTAGAGACCATCTCTAGGCATATCAAAAAAAAAAAAAGGGATCACGAGTAGTCAGCATGGATTCACCAAGGGAAAGTCGTGTTTGATGAACCTGATAGCCTTCTATGAGGGGATGACTGGCTGGCTGGGTAATGGGGGAGCTTGTGGATGTTGTCTACCTTGATTTCAGTAAGGCTTTCAACACTGTCTCCCATAACATCCTCATGGGGAGGCTCTGGAAGTATGGATTAGATGAGTGGACAGTGAAGTGGATTGAGAACTGGCTGGATGGCAGAGCCCAGAGGGTGATGATAAATGGGGCTGAGTCCAGTTGCAGGCCTGTGGCCAGTGGTGTCCTGCAGGGATCAGTACTAGGCCCAGTGCTGTTCAACTTGTGACTTGGACGAGGGCTCCTGCCCCAGATTAGGGGTTGACCTGCTGGCAAGCAGCTCTGCAGAGAGGGATTTGGAAGTCCTGGTTGACAACAAGTTAACCATGAGGCAGCAATGTGCCCTCATGGCCAAGAAGGCCAACGGGATCCTGGCTGCATCAGGAGGAGCGTTGCCAGCAGGTCGAGGGAGGGGATCCTGCCCCTCTGCTCAGCTCTGGTGAGGCCACAGCTGGAGTATTGGGTGCAGTTCTGGGCTCCCCGTTACAAGAGGGACGCTTTGCTTCTAGAGAGGGTCCAGCGCAGAGTGACAAAGATGATTAAAGGACTGCAGCATCTATCTTTTGAGGAAAGACTAAGCGAGCTGAGCCTGTTTAGCCTGGAAAAGAGAAGACTGAGAGGGGATCTTATCAACATGTACAAACACCTGAAGGGGGATTGTAGGGAGGATGTGGCCAAACTCTTGTCGGTGGTGGCCAGTGATAGGACAAGGGGTAATGGGTATAAATTGAAACACAGGAAGTTCCGTCTCCATGTGAAATAGTCAGTCAAGAGGTTGCTTCTGTCAGAGGGAAGTATAAAACTTTTACCCATCGTCTTCTGGATTGTTTGGATACTTAGTACCGATTTTGAATGATACTAGTAGTAGTTGTAGTCCAGAATCAGTTGTCTACTGACTGGACTTGTTTTTTAAAGTTATGCTTTAATTTCATTTGAAATAATTATGGTAGTCTGAACATGAACCACTTGAGACATGAATTATGGTGGGATGGGATATGGGAAAAATGGTAGTAACTGTCTACTAATACATACTAAAAATGGCTTTGGTGTTCCTTGAGCACATTCATCCAATGAAAACTAAATATTCCTATTTTAGATAGGATTAACACTTCATGGAGACTCTCTTGTCACCTCTCCATTTTTTGGATGGAGTCTCTGCTGCATCTCATTTCTTTGTGCTGCGTGTGTCTGACAGATGTTATCTATCTTTTTGAGTCTAAAGAGAAAATCAGAAAGTAAGGTATTACCAGTTACTTAGCAATGTAAGGTAAATAAAATAAAACCTTGTAAAGAAGATTGAGAGGGGATATAAGAGCAGCAGCCACAGACTCTTAAATGTAGAAGGTGCCTGGCAATGTTGTGTGGTATTGCCCATAAACTGAGGAAGAGGGGCAAGGGAACAAGGCAACCCAGGACTTTTTATAGGGAGGAAGGTATACATCCTTAGATTGCCAATACATGTGGTAATTTAGATACAACATCATATTCAGCCATATTAATTGCTACCCCAGAAACTCTCATTTGAAACACTCATTGTGTATTTTAAAGTTCCTGCAGACTGAGCAGTTTTCCAAAAACTTTCCAAAATAATACCATCTAGCAATAAAATCTTATTAATTCCTGTGGATTTCAGAGTTTTTTGCTGTTCCGTTATTTCTTTACCCTTCAGAGCAAAAGTAATACCTCATTCCTCAATTTCATTCTTCATACATGATTCTGCAAAACAGAGGAAATGAAAGCTGCAAATGCAAAGCTTAACACTTAATTCCTGTATTGATTTCAATTTGAAAGCTTCTGTAGTTCAAGGAGTAGTATGCCCTAACTTTAATAAAACCATGGTGATATTAATGATGGAAAGAGAGGTCAACTGTTGCCTGTGAAAGATGTGTCTGTGTCCTGTTCTGAAATTTGAGAATTTTATGTAAACATTGTAACACAGACACTTTTCATCTAGATTAGTAACCTTAGTTCTCTGGTTTGCCAGAGTTACTCTGGTTGCCAGACTTACTGAAGTCGTACTGGTATGTGATCTTGGGAGACCTCTTAAAAAAAATAAAAGAAAAGAATGCTTTGTGATGATACGAGCTTTGAATGGGTTTTCTAATCTTCATTATGTTGGTAAGGTGAAATAGTGTTGACCCTGATCCATGTGAAGTTTGAAAAAAAAAGTGGAATGTGTTCCACTGTATTAACAAATAGAAAAAAAATGTTAAATATCTTAGTCTTTTGTTATGAAAACACTGTGCATCCGTGAAATGGGTTGCTTGGGAAAGAAATATGATGGTTCTATTTTTCAAGATGACGTGAGGATGAATGAGTATAGGTAGACGTTACTAAAACTCGGTATTGTAGAAGTCCAAATAGTGGGCTTTATCTAATAATATTGTTATTGAATTAACACATGAAGGAAATTTAAAAAGTGTAACTCCATACGCAAATAATGCATCACATGCATCACTGTGGCTTCATTTTCAAATGTTACTCATTTAATAGAAAAAAATAGCATTTAATGAGAATCCTGAATACATGTGCAAAATATTATAGAGCTGTAGATTTTAGATACTTATTTATGTATTTTCCCTTCCTAAAATAACTGTCACGATTAAGACTATACAGCAACAAATAGGAATGAAGTCCAAGAATTTTGCATGCCTTAGTAAGAACTGATGTATGTTTAACAAAGGCAGGGCCCTTCTAAAGGGCAAGTACAACTGAGGTTGTGAAATTAGAAGCAGGTGAGAGTTCAACCATGGAAAGAATTAAAAATGAGTATATGCATGAACGTCTTACAAATAGTTGTAGAGAAGTAGAGCTTGATTTCCTGCTCTTGAAATTGTTATAACGTGAGCAAAACTGGTATGTTCAAGTATAGAAATACAAAGATTAAAAGACCAAAGCTTAAAAGTTTGTAATACAAGACTCTGGGTCTGGTATTTTTGCAGAGTCACAGAAGGTTTGAGCTTGGAAGGGACCTCTAGAGATCATCTAGTCCAACCCCCTGCTCCAGCAGGGACACCTAGAGCACGTGGCACAGGGTGGCATCCAGGTGGGTTTGGAAGATCTCCAGAGAAGGAGACTCCACAACCTCTCTGGGCAGCCTGTTCCAGGGCTCTGTCACCCTCACAGGAAAGTAGTTCTTCCTCACATGGAGATGGAACTTCCTGTGTTTCCACTTGTACCCATTACCTCTTGTTCTATGTCCGGCCACCACGGAGAAGAGCCTGGCCCCATCCTCCCTATAATCACCGTTCAGATACTTGTACATATTGATCCAATTTCCTCTCAGCCTTCTCCTCTCCAGGCTAAACAGGCCCAGCTCGCTTAGTCTTTCCTCATAAGATAGATGATCCAGTCCCTTAATCATCTTTGTTGCTGCAGTGTTTTTGCTTATTGGTACTGCATTGCATTTGGTACTTTTATTTATATCTCTCCAGAGAATTCAAGAAAGGTTCTTTGGAGTATGCAGATATAGGGGAAGAAGGTAATATTCTGTGAGAACCCAAACTCATTCCTGATATATTGGAGAAATTACTACAAAGATGCTGAACACTCACCTCATGATTATCATTGTCCTTTATATGTGTATGCCTTTTCAGGTAACTTTTCCAGCAGGACTTTTATTTGATACATTTGTACGTATGTATGCATGACCAACTTTTTGTTTGTTTTGTTTAGGAAATGTGTTTCTAAAGCATGGTTCAGATCTACGGATTATTCCTAGAGATCGAGTTGGGAGTTCTTAACAAATACCAAAAGCCTTGGAACAGGTGACGTTACCATGCAGCCAAGTTGTATTTATTTTGGAACTCTGTTAATGGATTGGCCTTCTTTAAAGCAATCAAAAATGACGCCTCAGAATTTGATCTCTCTTTAGAGATAAGGTATAACTTTCATGTTTAAAATATATTAAATCAAATATTCATTCTTTGACAAGTAGAACCAACTGGTTCTGTGTTATCTTCCTGAATGAAAGATGGACCTCTTTAAAAGTGATACTGAAATCAGAAGGGCCACAAGCACATGATGACATTTAAGATATTTTGTATTTTGAGCCTACTCAGTGGAAAGGAGAGATTATTATGATTTTGCTACAAGGAAAATGTTCTTTACTGAGTGCTAAACTTTTTTTTTTTTTTAAACTAAACCATTATACATACTCTCACATTCAAAAGAATATTTTGTCCCAAATATTTAGCTCAAATAGAAGAGAAATTTCAGGGATTTATTGCTGAATAAAGTAAATAACTGCCAAATATTCCAAAGTAATTGTAAAGATGGTGAAGTTATTTTAGATAAAGGAAAATGCAGAGGTATCTGTGTTAAAATTTCACATGACATTCGGTGCAGATAAGCAGAGTTTCATAGAATTTGGTACCGGATGTCCTCAAATTAAGTGCCATCAGCTGAAGAGGGTTGCATCATAATTTAGGAATGTATAGGTATTGGTCAAATACATCATTCCTTTTCTCGGTAACCTAATTTTGTTCAGTTGCACAAGTCTTGTTTCTTACTGTATGTTACAAGGGAACCACATAAAATTCACTGAAATGTTTGTGTTCAGATAATACACTTGTTTTCAAATTGTCTAAGATAAACTATAAATTGTATATTTTAGAGAAATAAATACTGCTTGTTTTTGTTTTTCTTGAACTGATACTGTTATTTTGTAATTTAATATATTTGGCAAAAATCTCACTCTGTTGCATTTTGTCTGTCTTGCTGAGGTTGTACAGGACAGCTCTATTTGTAACAATAATCATGCTCCAAAAGGATGTCCAGATAATAGTGGCAGATGTTATAGGAGTGCAAAATGCCTTTCTGAGTTGGCGCAGACTAACCATGTAGAGGAAAGCTTTTCTGAAAGTGATATTTGACAATAAACATTTTCCAGCACTAAAAATGGTTAATTGTTCTGAGTTTTCCCTTCAATAAACAATGTGGATGGAAATAAAATTGAACCTGTTTGTTCATCTTTCATTTTCTTAATTAGATTTTCACAATAAATTAAAAACCCTGTCCTTTAACCTCTTCATCAACAGGTGGTAGTCAATGTAAGATTCATCTCAAACCAAAAGGTTCTTATTATGCAGAATTCTACAGAACGCTGATTTTAAGGGCAGAGTTTCCCCTTTCTATTAAGCCAATGCCACTGTATAATTAGAGTGAACAAGATTAATTGCTTCTAATCATTGTCTGCAAAATTATTGGCTGAATACCTGAAAAAAGACCTGGTATTGAAATATTACAAATAGGAAGTTTCCTGTCTAAGGATGTAATATAGTTTTAGAAAGGCTATCATATTAACCAATAACCTTGATGTTTTTTTTCGGATGGGAGTTGGATAAAATAACTTGGAATTATGACGTTTATTACACTTATTAAGGTATTAACACTGATAATCGTAACATTGACATTGTGTTGTAAGTTTATATATATATTTACATATATTAAAAACATGTAAAGGATCTGCCCATTTTGAATAATAAATAATTTTTGTAGTAGTTTATAGTACACTTTCATTACATGTTTCTCTCAATATCTGAACATATCTTTCCTGTTTATTAAAGCAGCTTTGTAGCAGGGATAAAATGTGCTTAGTAAGAAGTTTTGTGTTGGTTTGATATAGGTAAGAGGGTTTTTTGTTAAATCTAAGTCATGTTTGACAAGTAATATAGGAAAAATAGCAGTGTAGTACCAAGAGTGCTAGGGCTTAGAAATTTTATAAATTTTCAAAAGAATGCCGTATTCCCAAACTTCATCTAACCAAATTTTAATTCATAGTTTGAAAATCAACTCTATCTGGAATTCATATTGTCTTTGATTAGACCTGACTGATGGTAAATGAAAGATTCTGATCAGCCTTGTACTTACTTTAGTGGAGATGTGAAGTCAATTTGAAGTTATTGTCATTACTCCCATCCATATTTTACATTTCAGAATGATAGCTCTTTTATGTTAAAAGTTATTCCATGAAGAGGATTTTTTGCAGAAATCTTAGATCATGGAGAGAGAGATATATTTTTTAAAAAAAACACCAAAACTTTAAAAGAGTTGTAGTTTTTCTTTTGATTTATAAGATGTTCTAAGAGAACTAAAATTATTTGACAGAATTTGAAGAAATAGAAACTTGTCTTGGAAATAAGTGCAGTGATCTAATGTAATTTGGAAGGACTAGGATAGCTAGAAAAGCTCTGACAACCATTTTGTCAGTAGTATCTGGTTTCTTCTTTGCATTCCCAAGCCACAAAATTGCACTTTATTGCAGTGCTGGAGTTTAAAAGAACACTTTCCTCGCTTGCTGTTAATTAATAACTGTGAAAATTGTTGGCAACAGGTCTCAAAGCTCTCTCTGCATTTAGGTTGTTGGTGAAAGCCCACCTGCCGTTCCTGCTCCAGTGTTTAGAGAGGGCAGTCGCAGCGAGAGAAGGAATCATGTCCGTATGAACGCAGTGTCAGAGCCTTCCGAGGGGGCACAGCAGCCTTTGCAAGGAGTGTGCAATAGTGTCAAATTGAGCAGTTTAATGGAACAGTAAAAAAAAATACATTCTGCGGTTAGTAGTGCTGCAGAGACTGCATTTCAGCACCAGCTTCTGTGTGAGTTTCAAGCTCCAGCTGAGTAAAATTGTGCTTGTGTGCAACACATAGTGTTCAGATTTAAACATTATACCTAAATAACCCTTCACTTCAACAGCAAATTTCAGCCCCTGTTCCTACCGTTGAGGGGTAGCTAGAAGGCAGTTTTCCATTTAAATTTTACTTTTGAACAGGATACTAGAAAATTTATATCATGTATTAAACATCTATGTCTATAAGCAAGCAGGCAGAACAATGCTACAACATGTAACATTGAGAGGGGAGAAGAGCTGCTTATGTGGGTCATTTTCAAAGCCCCGTACACTCATTTCTCAAGGCTTCCTCTAGAGTCAATACAGAGAAGGGTAATTCAGAACTGAAGATTCATTCAGCTACCCACAATCTCGCGCTGGAGGAACCTCACTTCCATTAGGTTCAGGAAGGCCTGCCAAGATGAGCCTCCCAAGGATGATATTAGCCTTTGCCTAAATAATTGCTAGCCCAATCCTCCTTGACCAGTGGAAAGTCCTCCTGTCTCATGTTTTGCAAGCATCAGGCATTATTCTGAACTAGTTCTTAACTAGTTTTCTAAAGTAATTCATTTAGATAGCACGCTAGCTTTAGATTGCGAAGTGTCACTAGTTTTTACCCTAGGCCAAACTTAAAGCTGTGACTTTCTAAGGTTATAGGAGTAGAAATGCTTATGTATCAGCTTGGGTTTCTGCAGACTCCAAATATATCTATTCATGCAGTAACTGAGCTTTGTGGCTTTAAGTCCTTCCTGAGGAAATGGGACCTTGATCCCTTCACTATTTGATCAGAAAATCTGAGCTACTGCAGAACACAGAAGGCTAAATTGTGCATGATGCATGGCAGTAATAAATGGCTACCCCATGTAAATATGGAGAAACTACAGAATAGAGAAATAACTCAGTGGATATATGGATATTCAGGAACTTCTCACCAAGTTAAGATTGATATGAGCAGGTTCTTAGGATTTTCACAGGTACCATGCTGACCAGCTTATTTTTTTTTCTTGAAATAGCTATTGGAATTGGATTTCAGCCATTGTGTCAGTCCTCTTTGAGTGCTACCCGAAAAGATTTAGGTCTGTTTTCTGAATATTTTTTTGTATGAGACTCCAGGTCCAATACATGGAATTCAGATTAACTGTACACAATGTTGTTGGTATTTTTTTTCCTAGTAATTTGTTTCTATATGTCTGAAAAATACATGTTTGCAGTACAGCAAATAAAGGTCCTGCTCATTTATCAAAATGAGATCAAAGTTGGAGTCATTAAGAGCATGTCATATTCTGACCCTGTAGATTTGATTTTATGTCCTGGCATAAAATACTGTGTAAAGGCCTGTTTCAAACCGTAGCTGATTGCTAGCCAGCTCTTACAAGCCATTGGAAAATGCAGGGAGGTTTCTCACTGTCTTAAGAGAATGATTAGTGAGAAGTTTGCAACTTTACAGGGCTACCTACTGCAAACCAAGCAAATAGCCTGCAGGAGGGCTTAAAACAAACAGTTCTTTTAGCCCCTCAGAAATGTCCACTGCTAATTTAGTTTTCAATTGCTCAATGTTTTTATTGAACAAAACCAGGCAGAAGAGCTAATTTAGAGTCTTGTCAGAAATGTGTGTTAACTTTGCTGTTACCAACATGCATTCCAAACAGACTTCCTGCCCCAGATGCAGTGGTTCTTCCTGACCGTTCAGAATAATGTTACTGTCACAGGATTTTACCTGGGATTATTATAGTTATATCCGTATGGGCTGCGGGGGTCCCTTAAAGGAAAAAAAGTATTACTTACAGAGTTTTATGGGCTTAGAGTGCAAGAACGGCATTAACAAACTGGGGAAAGTCCAGTGGAAGGTGACCAGGACTAGGCACGAATTTCATCAAGGGAAGTTCTGTTTAATTGTAAGAAAAGAGTTATTGACCACGAGAGTGCCCAGACGCTGGAACTGTTTGGTAAGAGGGCTTGTACAGTCTACATTTTTTGTGGTATTAAAACATGATTGGACAAGACTGAGCAATTGATGTAACTTTGATCAGGGGTGTGAATCAGAAGACATCCAAAGGCACTTTCCAACTTAAGCTAGTCCCTGCTTTCTTCTTTCCTTGCACCTTCTCTCTTAGCTTTTCCTTGGTGAAGGAAGACCTATATCCTGCTTTGCTCTGGTTGCCTGCCCAGGGAACGGGCACGGGAACGTGAC